GTGCTTGGAGGGCGACGTTGAGTGGTCCTCACAGGTCACGCAGACGCTTCTTGGGCTGACGACCAGGCTACGCAGCAGTCGTCACAGGGTTACACCTTCAGCCTTTGCTCCGGCTCTGTTTCGTGGCGTTCTACCCGCTCGTCTTCTGTTCTCGGCTCCAGCTGTGAGGTTGAGATCTACGCGGGGGCCATGGCTGCACAGGAGCTACGCTGGCTCACCTACCTGCTGACTGACATAGGAGAGCCGCCTCGTTCTCCTCCAGTTCTGTACGTAGACAAAAAGGCCATGCTGGCCTTGTGTTGGGAGCACAGACTGGAGCACAGAACGAAGCACATTGCTCTCCGCTACTTCCTTGTTCGTGAGCTGCAGCAGCGTGGTCAGCTGCGCCTTGCTTACGTGGCCTCTGAGGCCAACACTGCTGATATCTTTACCAAGGCACTTATGCCTGGTGATCATCAGCGCTTCTGTACGATGCTTGGTCTTGTGCCTACTTGGCCTCACTTGCTCACTTCTTGACCTTGCTTGTACTGTGATCTTTCTATACCTGCACTTGCCTGTTTACCTTTATATATGATCTTGCATGTGAACTGGCCTTGTGGCCTTGCTCTTGTGCTCGGATTGTGTGGTGACGTTGTGATCCACCCTGAGCTTGCTTTGCTTTGCTTGACTGGTCTTTTGACCTCTTGTTCTCCCCCACTTTGCCTATGGGGGTGTGTCAAACTCATATCATATAGCTTGTCTAGGCTATAGTGGGGTAGACACTATGGGGTACAATTTCCTAGGGTTTCCTACTTGTACCCAACCTTGTGCTAGTTCATCCACTCCTCATTTCTTCACACACGGGCCTATCGTCGCACAGGTTCATGCCAATAAACGCACAAACAAGTGGCACGTGCTATGTAGTTGTACGAATGAGCTCAGAATAATTTCTATGGCTAGGGAACTGGATAAACTAGGGAATTGTGTGAAGAAATTGTTTAGTCTAAGAACTATGCGGAAGCGATTAAACTCAGCTCACAAGCATAAGTTGGGCAACACTTAACATCACTTGTAACCCCTAGAGTGGGACACCAAGTCACCTCATAGCCAAGGGCGTAGAAAAAAAGTGAGTGGTTATGCTCAATGTAGCTTGTATCGTGAGTGTTCTTGTCAAACGCAAATACAATCACACATATAAGAGAGGGCCTAGGCACACAAAGGAAACACAAGGCGGTTGTTGAACTGCTCTTGCATTTGGCTTGATTTGCCCCTGTAGAATAACTGTCTTCAAACTTCACCGCTGCCAGATTCTCCTGCTAACTCCCCTCATGAACATTCATGATCACTTCTGTAGAAATCATGAACGCTTGTGCTGGTTTACCGTATTTTTCAGTTACAAACGGACTTTACCGTTTTGTACCTCTGTTGAAATGATGACGCTAAGCAGCGTGACTTTCTGGCAAATTTTACTGCACACCAAGTGTGCGCGACATCTCGATAGTCAACTGTAGAATCCCGAGTGCCCCACGTGCCCCACGTGCCCCTCATCAGGACCGAGATATTTCTCGGTCGTGCAGGACAAAACGATTGCTGACTCGATCGTACGTTGTCCTACGTGTAACAGAGCGATCATGTAGCTCCGTTCTGTTTCGATCGTGCGCGCTGTGCAGGATCGAAACAGTGACGCCAGACGCATGGGCCCTGCACGGCCACACACGCATGTCAGGACCCCACGTGCAGGTCCTCACTTCACGCATTTTTTAGTTGACCAGCGCGAAGTGGTCAACGGAACTGGTCAAGCAATTGAGCCCCACACCAAACTCACTCGACATTCACAACTGACACTCATGAAATAACTCAACATTCATGAAAGCGCATGTTCGTCCATGAGAAAACATGAACGTATATGAGCTGACATGAACGAACCTGACTCCTCATGATCCGTCCTGACTGGTCATGATCCCACAACAAAAGTGCATGAAACGAAATGCGAAAACGAATGCACACAGAACAGACACAAGATGTGTAACGTTAGGCGGGTGGTTGCAATGCAAAAATAGTATTTTGCACCCAAAAAACTCCCCCTCAAGCAGTCGCCTACTTGCACTCCCTTTGCTTGAGCCTAGTTAAGGCTCATGTCGCAGAGCTTAACGCAGCGCCAGTGGGGTTCTTCAGCCAGTCGCTTCATGAGAAAATCTGCCGAATGTTGCTGCGACTTAACATAGAGGGGCTGGATGGATCCCCTCTGCACCTCCTTGCGCAGCCAATGCCATTTGATCTGCATGTGCTTGGTGAGCCCATGCAGCAGACCGTTATTGGACATTGAAATGGCACTGGAGTTGTCACAAAACAGCGATGTGGCAGTCTGCCCTATCTTCTCCAGCAGCTTCCTCAACCAAATCAGCTCCTTGGCTGCACGGTACATTGACATGTACTCTGCTTCAGCTGATGAACCCGCCGTTTCCACCTGTTTCTTTTACCTCCAGCTCATGGCCCCACCAGCAATCACGCACACATATCCTCCCACTGAGGACATGTCCTCCTTTTCTGAAGCACAGGTTGCATCAGCAAACCCTATGAGGAATAGCTCCCTCTCTACGAGGTGCTCCCCCTTCTCCTTGAGAACTTCTGCTCCCTTCTGCTTCATCTAAGCCACGACTGAGTATTGAACTGTAACAGTGGGGTATGAGTTCAGATACTCGATGATGCGGTCTGCTGCACCACCTGTTTCTCGGTGGCATTTTGCACCACCTTGGCCAGCTGCCCCACAGCAAAGGAGACGTCCACCTGGTGTGCACTTCTGCATAGAGCAAGCTCCCCACCATGGACTGAACATGAGCCTGCTTTCGCTGATCCACTCCTTCGTTCTCACCACCTTTGATGAGTTTAAATCTGGATGGAAGAGGTGTGGTGATCTTCCTTCTGACCTCTATCTCATACTTGCTCCCCATGCCAATGATGTACTTCTCCTGGTGCAGCTTCACACATTCATTGCTGACATCCCTTCCGATGTGCATTCCCAGGTAAAAGTTCGCCTCCCCCAGGGTCTTGCGCTTAAAGTTTTGCATCAGTTTCTGCTGCACCTTCATCACCTCCTGCTTGCTGCTCCCGAACAGGAGGGTGTCGTACACGTACACAAGGATTATGACGAGGCTCTCCTTCTCCCCCATGCAGAAAAGGCTCTCGTCACATGCACCCGCCTTGAATCCTATCTCCTCTAATATCGAAGACAGTTTCTTGTGCCAGCAGCGTGGAGCTTGTTTGAGGCCATCAATGGCCTTTGTCAGCCTGCACACATGCCTGGTACCATCCTCATAACCTGGCGGCTGCGATATGAACACCTCCACATCTATCATGATAAGAAACGAGGAAAATGAGAATGACAAAGGGAAAGCTGGGTACAAGTACAAACCCTAGAAATATGTTGTACCCCATATGTGCTACCCCACTATAGCCTACATAAGCTAAGTCTTATAAGCCTGACACACCCCCATAGGCAAAGTGGGGGAGAACAAGGGGTCACAAGACCAGTCAAGCAAAGCAAAGCAAGCTCAGGGTGGATCACAACGTCACCACACAGTCCAAGCACAAGAGACAAGGCCACAAGGCCAGTTGACATGCAAGTTCAAATTTATAAAGGTAAACAAGCAAGTGCAGGTATAGAAAGATCACAGTACAAGTAAGGTCAAGAAGTGAGGCCAAGTAGGCACAAGACCTAGCATCGTACAGAAGCGCTGATGATCACAAGGCGGAAGCGCCTTGGTAAAGATATCAGGAGTGTTGGCCTCAGTGGCCACGTAAGCAAGGCGTAGCTGACCACGCTGCTGCAGCTCACGAACAAGGAAATAGCGAAGAGCAATGTGCTTCGTTCTGTGCTCCAGTCTGTGCTCCCGACACAAGGCCAGCATGGCCTTGTTGTCTACGTACAGAACTGGAGGAGAACGAGGCGGCTCTCCTAGGTCAGTCAGAAGGTAGGTGAGCCAGCGTAGCTCCTGTGCAGCCATGGCCCCCGCGTAGATCTCAGCCTCACAGCTGGAGGTGAGAACAGAAGACGAGCGGGTAGACCGCCACGAAATAGAGCCGGAGCCAAGGCTGAAGGTGTAACCCTGTGACGACCGCTGCGTAGCCTGGTCGTCAGCCCAAAAAGCGTCTGTGTGACCTGTGAGGACCACTCGACGTCGCCCTCCAAGCACTAGCCCCATGCCCGATGTACTGCACAAGTAGCGCAACACCCTCTTCGCTGCAGCCATGTGCTCTGGTCGGTGTCTCCCAGGAGCAACATAGCGTGCCAAGATGCTAAGAGGGTATGCAAGGTCAGGTCGTGTGCAGGTCATCAGGTACATGAGGCAGCCAACAAGCTCTGGGTACGGGCCACTCGGCTCTACGGACTCATCCAAAGGCAGAGCTGAGAGCGAGTGGCGAGTAGATAGAGGAGTGGCCTGAGGCGAGGAGTACGTGAAGTCGAAGCACTAAAGGACCTGCTGCACCATGTGTGACTGAGTCAGGGTAATGGTGCGCTGTGCTCTGTCCCGGGTGATCTGCAAGCCAAGGTAGCTGCACAGTTCACCCAGGTCTGTGCATGTGTGTCTCTTTTGCAGCTCGGACTTCACGTGGGTGAGTCCAGCAGGGTCAGCAGTGGCAAAGACCAAGTCGTCGACGTACACGAGGATGTAGAACGGCGGCAAAGAGGTGTCGGTGTGCAGAAACAGCGACGGGTCAGCAGTAGAAGGAGCAAACCCAAGAGCCGCAAGTGTAGTCCTCAGTGTGTCGTGCCACTCACGTGGCGCCTGGCGGAGACCGTAGACTGGCCGCCGGAGGCTCCACTAGGTACCAGGAGGAAACGACCCAGTGAAGCCAGGTGGGCGGCGCAGCCAGATCTCCTCGTGCAGGCTGCCCTGCAGGAAAGCTGTGCTGAAGTCAAGAGAGTGAAGCTCCTAGTCACGCTGAGCGGCTATGTGCAGCAGTATCCGAAGAGTGGTCACCTTCTGGGTGGGAGAGAAGGTCTAAAAGTAGTTAACTCCCTACCGCTGACTGAAGCCTCGAGCCACGTAACGCGCCTTGAAGACAGGCGGAGAACCCGGCACCCGCTTCACCCTGAAAATCCACATGCCACTGACAATGTTCGCCCCCGATGGGGGAACCTTGTCGACGTAGGTGCCTGTGGACTTCCAAGAAGCCATCTCTGCGTCCATGGCTGACTGCCACTGTGAGGAGTAGGGACCCTCGATCGCCTCAGCGTACGATCGAGAAGTCGGGATGTCTGGTGCATCCGGGTCTCCCTCAGGGGCAATCAGCGTGGACACCAGATGAGTCAAAGCAACAGCAAAATACTGGAACTCCTCCTGCCTGTCCTCAAGGACGTCCGTGCTAAGAGCACACTCACCCCCGACGGACGGAGGACAGACAGACTTAGACTCAGCAACAAGGCTAGCGGCGTAGTCTAGACGACAGCGAGCAGCAAAGTCGACGAGCTCAGCAACCAAGGCAGACGCAGCAGTGGACTCAAAGGAAGGGTCAGTGACAACAGTAGCCAGGAGACGCGTGACAGTAGGATTGGCAGCACGAAGAGAGTCAGGCTCCGGGTCAGGAAGGACATGAAGAGAGGACTCTGGAGGAGACGGCAACGGGACACGCAGAGGAGCAGAGGAAGGACGCAGGTGTGTGCCTGGGACCGCAGGAGGACGCGGACGCGGAGCACGATGACTAGTGAGAGCAGCACGAACAGGCGACGCAGGACGAGAAGCAGGCTCACGACGCTCAGCAAGACCTCCAGTAGGACCAGTGTAGGGAGAGGGAGCAGGCAGGGGGGAGGCAGGCTGTAACTGTGACTGCGACTGGACAGTCTGTGGACACTCTAAGGGAGGAGCAGCACCAGTAGAGGGCGGGAGACCAAGAACCTGCACAAAAAGGGGAACGAAGTACGGCCTCGGCCGCGAAGCGCCTCCAGAACCAGCAGGGACAGAACCAGTACCCCCAGCGGCAGCACTAGCACCAGCAGCACCTCCCGCCAACTCCAGCACCCTTAAAAGCACCAGTGCCAGTAGCACCACCAGCGCCAACACCCCCCGCAGCTCCAGCTCCAGTAGCTCCAGCAGCTCCAGCTCCAGCAGCACCAACTCCAGCAGGACCGTCAGCTCCAGGACCGCCAGTAGCTCCAGCAGGACAACCAGCAGAACTAACTCCAACAGCAGCCCCAGTCCCAGCAGCTCCAGTACTACCAGTACGAGCACCTCCAGGTCGAGCAGCAACAGTAGAAACTCCAGCTCCAGCAGCACGGCTCCAGCGCCGGGCAAACCACTCGCGCAGCTCCTGCGGAGAGAGTGGCTCCCGCCTCGACGAAGCACCGCAAGAGGCCACACGAGCAGACCCAGCACCCCTAGGCTCCGCACCCCCAGGCTCAGCACCTCCAGACTTAGCACCCCCAGGCTCAGCACCCCCAGACTCAGCACCCCCAGGCTCAGCACCTCTAGCAGCACCAGAGTCAACAGCTACCTCGACAAGCTCGACTGCGTCTACCTGGGACACACCTGACGGGGCAGGACCCTGAGGGGGGAGGGGGTCTACTGGGGGAGGACCTGGCGCAAGGAAGAACGGCGGCGGGGGGAGGGGCGCAGTGCGGTAGGGGAAGAGACGGTAGTAAGGCACCGACTCGTTAAAGGTGACGTCTTGGGAGGACAGAACACGGCGCGAGGTGGGGTGGTGAAACTGCCAACCAGGCGCGTCGGGGGGGAAGCCAAGGAAGACGCAGGGAACAGCATGGGGGGACAGCTTGTCCGCAGACAAGTCGCGGACAAACGCCCAAGATCCCCAGACCCGAAAGGCAGTCGCATTGCCAACCTTCCCGGTCCACCGCAGGGTGGGGGAGGTCTCTCGTAAGGAGACCCGGGGCTGAAGGTTGAGCTAATGCGCCGCGTACTGAACCGCAAACGGCCACAGAAAATGGGGGGCAGCCGCATGGATCATGGACGTACGAGCGACGTCCATGACCATGCCAATGCGGCGCTCAGCAATCCCATTTTGCTGTGGAGAGGCCGGAAGCGTGAAGGTCTGGCAAATGCCCTGTGCTCGACAGAAGGCTCCCAGAGAAGCAGAGGAAAACTCCCCGCCTCTGTCAGAGTGCAGACGCAGAACAGGAAAGTTCGAGCCGAAACTCTCCCTGAGCTAGGGATGAGCTGCGTGGATCTTGTCGATCAACACCTTAGTGACGTCGCCCTTGCTGCGCAAGGGGAAGACCGTGGTGTAACGCTCGTGCCCCTGGCCACGGACGCGGGCAGGGCCCCACACGTCCATGTGAAGAGTTTGCAACGGAGCCTCTGTCGGAGGAAATTCGGAGGAGTGAGGGGCGGCGCGCTGTCGCCCCTTGACGCAGGGGACGCAGGTAGGGGCAGGCCCCGGAGGTAGGGGAGGGAGAGACCGAAGGAGATCAGAGACAAGGACACGGGAGGCCATGCCTCGGAGACGAGGTAGAGAGGGGTGACCAAGGCGGTGGTGCCAAAGGAGAGTCTGGAGAGATAAGAGACGACACGAGCAGGGAGCAGATACAGAACTAGACCTGGACGCTACAGCAAACACCTGACTCGACGCAACTACCTGACCAGACTCAGCAGCCGGAGGAGACTCAGTAGTGAGGGTGTACAGGCTCGACCCTGGCCGACGGGTGAACGTGGCCAAGTGTCGGCCTGTCCGAGCACACGTGCAGTGGGTCACCCGCTAACTCGAAGGAGTGAACTGGTCAACCCCCCTATCCTGTAGATCAGCTCCACTCACCAAGTTTGTAGAGAACGAGGGGAGGTAGAGACCTGACAGGGTGGCAGAGGGAGCTGCCGGACACGGTAAGACAGTGAAGAAGCAAGAAAGGACAGGGCCCCCAGAGGGGTCCGCCAGGGAGACCGCAACCTGCCGACTAAGCGGCGTAAGCGTTGTGCGGTCTCGAAAGAAGGAGCGGGAAGCACCCGAGTCAAGGGTGAAGGTGTGTAAGGCCTGAGCCGACGTAGTACCTGAGAGAGCGGACTCACCAGCACCTGGGGCAGCAGACGCACTAGCACCTAGAGCAGCAGCCTCACCTGTACCTAAAGCAGCAGTCTCAATGCCCGGGTCAGGCGGAACACACAGGTAATAGTCCCCTCAACACTTTCAGAGACAGCATACATGGCAGCAAGAATATCATCAAATTCAAGATCAAAGATAGCAACCCCCGCCCTAGACAGCTCTCCCCAGCGAGGGATCTCAGAGGCCTCAAGGAACTGGTGACGCCACGCGTCTGTCAGGCGGCCGAAGCAGCGCTGGGTGGAGTGCGGCCCCCCGCACTGCTCACCAGCGCGGTCGCCGGTACGGAGAACATAGGTGCAAGGACTAGTACCCCCACCGCGCTGACGTGCAGCGTACCACTCACGAAGCTGCTCAGGGGACAGGGTCTCACGACTGCGCTGCTGCTGCTGGCGCGGACCACCACTGGATCCACTCCTCTGGGTAGAGCCGCGACCAGGTCCACTGCTGCCGCCGCCGCCCCCGCCACCTCCGCTGCCTCCGCCACCTCCGCCGCCTCCACCACCTCCGCCGCCCCCGCTCCCTCCGCCACCGCCGCCGCCTCCTCCGCCTCCACTGCTGCCACCAACACCTCCACCCCCGCCACCATTCCCACCACCATCCCCACCCTCTCCACTGCCTCCACCACCACCTCCACCGCCCCCGCCATCCCCTCCAGCGCCCTTGCCCCCCTTGCCCTTGCCGGTGCGGCGTCTCCCGCTCGGGGCAGACGTAGCGCCGACCGACTCGAAACCAACGAGGTCGGCCGCAGCAGCAGAAGCAACAGAGGGCAAGAGGGGGGAGGGGGAACACCTCTCAAAGACAGGGGTGCGAGGGTCACCACGAGAGGCTCCTACAACGACTATGCTCTTCTTTGCTGCTAGGAGGCGCTCCTCGAGGAGGTCGACGGTAAGTGTGGTGGGGCAAACTGAGAGGAAGTGGTCCCTGACTAAGCGAAGGGAGTCAGGGAGCTGGGTGACTATGTAGTAGAGGGTCATGTACATGGGGGGGGGGTTCTTGGCACAAAACTTAGCAGGAAGCGCAGCGCGGTAGCGAATCTCACTAGTGCGAACGTGAGTGATGAGGTCAGCAACTGTGGGAAAGGCAGCAGTGTCAGGGAACAGGTACGGCAGCATGAGGCGGCTAAGAGCAGCAGTGGCAGGGGAGGAGTAGCGTGCAACTACAGCGTCGTACAAGGTCTTAGCACTCTTGTACTGGCTAAAGTGTGCACGCTCAGCGGTCGGTAAGTGGCGACGCACAGCAAGGCGAGCAGCAGCATCGCGTGTGGCCCACTGTGAGCGAATAGTGCTGTCAGCAGTAGCAGGCGGGGCAGGAGAGACACCAGAGGTGAGATCGAACAGAGAGAGTCCGTCTACCCTATCGCACTGGAGAAACAGCTGGAGGTCATCGACCCAGACCTCAAAGTCAACGGCACGGCCCTCAGCATCAAAGGTAAGGACACTTGGGGTAGCCATGACTGCAGTGGCCTAGTAGGGAGAGATCTCACCAGTCCGAGTAAGTAGGGTCGGAGCGCACCGGTAGGAACAGCAGCGGCTTGACAGTAGGGCGGCTCGGCGGCTCGGCTGCTGGGCGGCCCGGCTGCTGGGCGGCTCGGCTGCTGGGTGACTTGGCTGCTGGGCGGCTCGGTGGCTCGGCAGCTCGGCTGCTGGGCGGCTCGGCTGCTGGGTGGCTCGGCTGCTAGGCGGCTCGGCGGCTCGGCTGCTGGGCGGCTCGGCTGCTGGGCGGCTCGGCGGTGACGGGGTCGGTAGGGGAGGCGACGTGGCCGCTCGAGGAGGTGACGGGGTCGCCAAGGGCGGCGACGGGGCCTCCAGAGGAGGGGGACGGGGCCGCAGGTGACCGCGACGGGGCCGCAGGTGGCGGCGACGGGGCCGCAGGTGGCGGCGGCGGGGCCGCAGGTGGCGGCGACGGGGTCGCAGAGGGGCCGCACAGGGGCTGTAAGGGGCCCAGACGGGGCTGCAGAGGGGTCGCAAGGGGCCTAGACGGGGTCGGCGACGGGGCCGTAAGGGGCCGTAAGGGCGCCGCGAGGGGCGGGAAGGGGGGCCGCGCGAGGGCCGTAAGGGCGGCGTGACGGGCCGAAAGGGGCCGCTAAGGGCGGCGCAAGGGGCCGCCGGGCGGTGCGAGGGGCCGTAAGGGGCCGTAAGGGCAGCGCAAGGGGCCGTAAGGGGCCGTAAGGGCAGCGCGAGGGGGGGGGGGGGCCGACGGGCGGCGCACGGGGCCGTAAGGCGCCGTAAGGGCGGCACGAGGGGCCGTAGAGGGCGGCGCGAGGGGCCGCAAGGGCGGCGAAGGGGCCGTGAGAGGGGCCGCTAAAGGCGACGTGAAGGGGCCGTGAGAGGGCGCGACGGTAGGGAGGGCACACAGAGCGCGACTCGGGCAGGAGCGAAGCGCGCTCCGGGCAGGAAAAAAATATCGTGGTGGGCCCTAGGAAGCGTTCCCACTAGGGAACCTGCTCGATACCATGATAAGAAACGAGGAAAATGAGAATGACTAAGGGAAAGTTGGGTACAAGTACAAACCCTAGAAATGTGTTGTACCCCATATGTGCTACCCTACTATAGCCTACATAGGCTAAGTCATATAAGCCTGACATATCAGCCCATAGAGATAAGCTGTGGTGATATCCATCTGAACTATCACCCACCCGCATACAGCTCCACCGGTGAGGAGAACACACAATGTTGGCGTCTTCGCGGTTGCAGCAAAGGTCTCCTTGAAATCCCCCCTTTCTTTCTGTTGGTAACCCCTTGCCACCAGACTGCTCTTGTAAACTGACACGAATCCTTTCTTGTCAGATTAAATCCTAGGAATCCAGCCATAGTTAATGGCTTTCTTCCCCTCTGGTAGTGGCACCAGCTCACATGTCCCATTTTCCATTTGGCTGTTATATTTTGCATCTCTTGACGACAGCCATGTCAACGGGAGTTGTGGTTGGCCCCGTCCTCGTTTAGGCGGAGCCAGCCTCGTGGTCAGGTGTACGAGGAGCAGCCAACCTGTAGCAGTGGGTGAGCAGGACGACGAGGGTGGTCGACATGCGTGGGGGCCACTGCACTGGCGCCGACTTCTGGGCACTGGCTTTGGGGTGGTCGACTTGGTGGTCAACCTGACCTGGTGGTTGACGAAGGAGGGGCCTACGTCGATCTCGACAAGGGAGACAAGGGATGTCGAGCAGAAGGGCGTCGAGGAGCGGGACGCCGAGCAGCACGACGTCGAGAAGCAGGGCGCCGGGGTCGATGGCGCCGACCTTGGGTGGCCGGGCCCCGAAGTGGTCGACGAGGGGACGCCGACCTGGTTGCCTGGTCGACCGAGGTACCTGGGCGACGGACTTCTGCGGAAGCATGCGAAGGTCGCCGGGGGTGGTCCTGCGAAGTCGACCTCGGAATTGGTATCTTGAGGTCGACGTGGCTGGTGGGCGCAGTCGCTGGCGTGGAGTCGACCTAGGCGTCTGCGTTGTTCTCAAAACAAGGAGTGGTGCACCAACCAGCTGCATGCACCTGCGAAGCAGGTGCTTCATTGTCCTGCGGGTGCAACGCTGTGCAGCCGACTAACTGCAGCGTTGGCACTCCGTGGACTTGCAACGTTGGCAAGCCGCGACTTTGATCTGCTGGAGCGCGATCGACCACATCGTGCTAGCACGTGGTCGACCATGCTGCGCTGGAAGTCGACCAGCAGCTTTTCTAGGTCTGATGTGGTCTTGCATGCCAATTTTGTTGCAATCATTCTGAACCATTGTTCTTAACTTTTGCTAGTGAAATTCTTGCAGTTTCGCCTTGTGAACGCACAAGTGCTAGAGAACGACTAGGGAACGAACGCAGAGATCACACGAGCACCCGTGCCTAGCCCGCAGTCTAGCTCTCGTTGCTATAGTTATCTCCGCCTCCGGCGATGAGGGGAGAAGTGGGGAGCCACCTGTGGCGCTTGTTATAGTCACAGTATGCTCCAATGTGCCTAAAACGAAAGATAGAGTGCACAGTCGGATTTCTGCACAGCGGCTTCAAACGTTCATAGCGTTCTGGTCACAGCTTTAAATGACTTGATTCAACTTGGATCTAGAGCGTCTTATTGTTGCCTACACTAGGCTATTTAGATCGCACGATTTGACTTAGTATTGACGACACAGCGCCGGTTTGAACGAACGGCACTATGGCAACCACTATAGTCTTAGAACACAAGATAGGAAGAGTTAGGGAGAGTTACGAGTTGGGAATGACTCCCAGCTCCTACAAACCCCAAGAGCCGAGATACAGTGATGTGGAACAGTTCCACACTGTCCCCAACCATGAAGGTTCTCGAAACTACCCTTCACTAGGGCCTACACCAAGTGAAATGTTGCACTACACAAAGTAATGTAACTATCTTCAATATCTTGGGGTGTACCCTTTTTTCGCGGGCTTCGCGATTACTTGAATGTTGACACCAGGGCTCGGGTTCTTCATCACAAACTCATCCTTGAGTTCTTGATGGGTCTGCTGCACACACCTGCGACACGCCGAACGTTCGACAAGCGACAAAATAGAAACCGCGCACGACAAAATAGAAACCACGCGGGACACATAAAATGACCACGTTACACGCGACTAACGATAATTCGCTATTGACATGACACACACACTTGACATCATGACCCATCATTCACACATTATTATAAGCATGAAATATATATTTATTTGATGCACTCATTCCATTCCATGCACACACGCATGCACGCACACGGACAACAAGCCGAGTGCAAACCGTAGGGTTGCACCAACAGCGCTGGCCAAGAGCATCGCCGGTGGCCGACGTGACGTCCAGCCAGTCGGCATGGGAGTGAAGTCGACATTGGCAGGGGAGGAGCGGGCCGAGGAAGTGCAGCCGACTTTGGTGAAGTCGGCAAAGGGGACAGCGACGAGGCAGCAGCCGACAGGGGAGCAGGGAGCAGTGAAGCCGACCAAGGAGCAGTCGGCAACTGGGCAGCCGACTACATAGGAGCCGACCTCAGAGGAGAAGTCGGCAGGGAAGTCGACCGAGGTGCAGCAAGACGACGAGGGCAGCGAAGACGGTGGAAAAGGAGGGGGCGTAGAGGACTCCACTGACAGCGATGTGGTGGAGGTTCCACCTGGACCACGGACGTCAGACCGACTTCGGAGGCCACCATACTTCTTCGTCCCTGCTGCCTTCACCACGGTGTTGTCAAACACTATATATATGTGTTATTGCTGTGTAGGCTATAGTGGGTTAGCCTATAGGGGGTACACAATTAGGGTTTCATACTTGTACTGCAATGTTGTCTAGTTCATTCACTTCTTGTTTCTGACATGGTATTAAGAGCTTAGGTTCTAGACCCAAGGGCCCACCGTTCCGCTAGAGGTGCCCTCGTGCGCCCTTTTTTTTAGCGCCCTCGTGCGCCTTTCCCCTAGTGCGCCCTCGTGCGCTCTCCTCTCACGCTGCCCGTGTGCAGCCCGCTAGCAGCCTGAGCGCGGCCCCGCCGTTTTAGCCCGTGTAGGAAAACCGCCGCCTAGGGCGGCCTGATTCTTCTCACGAGCCCCAGCACGCCTTCGCCCTTAGGCCCCTGCTAGCCCCTAGGCCGACGCGCGACTCACAGCCGCCCGCCTGGAGGTCGCAGCCAGCGCGCCGCGACAATCGCGCGTTGGCTGCTGCAGCGCGCAACCCACAGCTGCCGCTAGAACGCAGCCGTGGCACGCGCGCCGCTGCACCCTAGGCGCCGCCGCGCACCTAGCCTAGGCCCGCCATCGCGCCGCCTTAGCTGGCAGACCCGCGTCGCCCGAGCCGCGGCGCCCGAGTCGCGCCGCCCTAACGAGCCGCGCCGCCCTGACTGAGCCGCGCCGCCCTACTTGCTGCAACCGCTCCTCTTGCTCCTACTGCTACTACTACTCTTGCTCCTGCCACTATGGCCAGTCCCACTGTTCTCACCTTTGACGCCGAGGGCCGCCCAATTAAGTTCGATGTCTGGCTTGATGACCTCCACCTGTTCCTCCAGATCACTGCCAAGGACGATGTCTCACTGTACGACCACACGTGAAGCGCTGCTCGCGCACCTCCTGCTACTGCTGACAGTATTGCTCGCTCCCAGTGGCAGACTCGTGACGCTCACGCCCGCCTAGCCGTTCGCAATCACCTGCCGGTAGATGAGCGCGAGAACTTCGGCCAGCATAAGACTGCTAAGGAGCTGTACGACGCAGTAGTCGCGCGCTACTCCTCCCCTGCCACTGCTGCTATAGGCCGTCTCTCACTGTCCTACCTCTTCCCCGACCTGTCCGCCTTTACCACTGTAGCTGACCTCATCACCCACCTCCGTACCAGTGACCTCCGCTACCGTGCCGCACTCCCCCCAGACTTGCGGTCCTTGCGACCTCCACCACTGCCCTCCCTTGTCCTGTTGTTCCGTCTGGCACGCTCTCGGGCCTCTACCTCCCCTCGTTCTCTACGAACTTGGTGGCGGGTTCCGCGCTCCAGGACG